AAAGGAAAATAAACGGAAAAAAAAGAAAGAAATCCGGAGGAAAATGTATATGAGATAACTCTCTCTCTTAATCGACGATATTTAAATGCGTATTAAAGATAACACGGTCGTCGATTAAAATTAACCAGCGTTACATTTCGTTGTTAAGAGAAACAGCATCGCCGTTATTAGTGTCTCATGTATAACAACGTAATCGAGTCTCTGTCAATTTTACAAAATACATGTGAGAATTTCCCGAGTGTATACGTGTATACAAGGAAAATAACGAAGAAGTAAACAAAGAAAAAAAAAAAAAAAAAAGAAGCAAAATGTAATAAAACACGCATGTATAGCAGAAAAAGGTTGTTACACTTGAGCACAATAGAGAAGACAAAGTATATGAGTATAGTTTTACACGAAGGCTTTATCGCCCGTTTAGTTTTATACCTGAGACACGAAGAAAAGGCTGAAACGGTTAGACGATAAAAAACAGTTCGAAACCCTTCTGTTTTGCGTTCTCGTTCTTTCTCTCTTTCCGCTGTCCGTAAGAATCGAAAAGTAAAAACAATACAAAACGAAACAAAATCAGATAATTCTTTTTTTTTTCTTTTTTTTTCCTCCCCCCTTTTACCGATGGCAAATCATCGTCGTATGCACGATCATCCCATACATATATACACGCGCATGCGCATTCGTATCGCATCCGTTTCGTACAGAACTTCCTCTTCCTCCATCCATTTGTCCTCTTTTTTTTTTCTTCTTTTCTCTTTCTATCTTTCTATCACTTTCTCTTTGCCTCTTCTTCGAAGTTTACATTAATTTTGTTTAATTCACTTAATATATACACAGAGATATTTTGAAAATCATCCAAGAACATGGCAACAAGTACCACCGATCGATCGATGGAACTACATCGCGTTCTGATTATCACGAAATATCGTTTCTCATTAGCCAAAGCGTTAGAATTTGCGTTTATTATCTCCTCGCGCGAACTACATTCTTTAATTTTATTCTTATTCTATTCTATTCGTCTCTCTTTTTCTTTTTCTCCCTCTCGCTCTCGCTCTTTCTTTTCCCCTTCCCTGTCCCTTTCTGTTTCTTTAGCATTCTATCTCCTTTCCTTTTTTTTTTTACACTCATACACATGGACACAGGACATATATGTTTGACATATTATTATATTTGCTATTATTTTAATTATAATTTCCAAGGAGTATATATTATCTTTAATAATCGTGGTAATTTTTAGACTAGAAAAACATTATATTAGCGGATAGAGATTAAAGTATACATAACAAAATAAAGTAAATATATATATATATA